AGATGCGTTGCATGGTGTGTACTTTTGGTTTGATATCCTAAAATATCACAGCAATTAAAGGTATCTGGGATATCATTTTGCAGCTCTATCACTTGAATACACTGGTTCTCTTCCGATCAACGGTTAAGTACGGTCGAGTCTGGACATTACTTAGATGAGTGACCGTTTGAAACTACTTGTTAACGTAAGCTTAAATCGGGTAGATGTATCTCGTTAGCCCGACAGGGTGGTCTAAGCAAGTGAAGAAAACTCTGATTTCACACCTCTGCTTTCTTACGGCCATACCCAAATATGGGAAAGGCTACAGGTGAAAGCCCTAAGGATATAATCTGGAACTGGAGCCCCAAAGACAATCCCGTGTTTATTCCAGCTTCTTCAGTTTCTGCTAACTCCTGCGGCGACGCCGGTGTTCAATTGTATCATTCCTTGGTTTTTCCTTGGACAACGTCGGTGGCGGCTGGAAGGTAGACGTGCTCCCGTAAAAATTTCCTGCCCTTGTCAAGAGAGAATATTCCAGTTGCAAAACGCATAAGGCAGCATCTACTGGTTAAAGGCCAACCTTTGGTTGGTAAAAGAAAAACAGACGCTGCACTATTACCAGCATGTGAATCCTTCCACTAAAAAAAAAAAATAATAATAATCCCAGATTAAGATCTATGTTTCCCCGTGAATGACGTATAGCACAAAGATATCGCTTAAAAATCTTCGAGCAATGGTAATGCTAATATTAGTCGTTTCCTTATAAAGAAACATTTGACTTTCATTGCCCGAGAAGCTAATATTAATGTCGGTTTAAATTTATAAAATCACTCGCTTAAGATAATTTTTCAGGAAAATAAGTTTCCCAAGTCCAGTAGCTGACATCACAATTTTCAGTATTGATGGGCGGTTTCCTTCCTAACCTTTTATTTGAAGTAGTGTGGAAGGTCAGCATCTCGATTATATCATTATTTTCTCGTCAAGTTATACGTGCTATTCATTTTAGTTGTTGCTTTTGCTGAAAGTCCACAAGTGAAGTGGTTTCTGTCATTTGGTACAGTTACTTTGTGATTCTGTAGAGCCAGTTTACAATCGTCGAAGAAGGATAATAGTATTCATCAAAACTCACAGGTTTCATTCGGTCAAAGCCATTTTTAACCGTTGATGTTAGAAATCGGTTGTATACAGCTGACAGTTTAAACATGTTCTGAACGGGTTTGACGCTAGGCATCAAATCCAAGTGAAAGACTCTATCTGACGGGGATATTTAAATAAGGATTTGCTTTCGTAACAATATGTGGTGTTGGGCAAAAACTTAGTCTAGCGCAGCTTATTCTATGTTTTTTCCCTAATTCCTCTTCTAAATTTATTATAACTGTTGTAGATTCCGGTATGAAATCCGGTCTCAAAATGAATGACAAACACAGGAATGAAATATAGCAAATAAATGTATTGACGCAATAATACAATTGGTAATACGGTTAGTAGATCCAGAAATGCGGTTAGTAGCAATAATAATATATATATATATATACAGTCTGTGAAATTCAGTATCGAAGTAGGACTTCCTTCTGAGTCTACGTGCTCGCAACTGTGACTCCCACAATCGACTCCTCACTCTCTCACTCGCTCACTGTTCACTGTATCAGTGTATCTCCGTCACTGTCTACCTCCCGGATATTCACCGGCAGCAGTACAAGTACACAATGGTCGAGTCCACTTGTATTAAAAAGGGGTGGACCCTATAACAATAACTGATCCATACAGTGTGGTATTTACTAATTCCACATCTTGAATTTTTTTTATGATGTATTCAGGATATACGCCAATTACTGATTTCATTTCAATTCCAGATCCTTCTTTCTGTTTTGGAAAGGTTTATTTTGAGTCTTATTTGTTGGAACACTTGGTAGAGAGGACGCTGTTTCTCTGTTCAAGATCACTGTTATCGCACCTATATAATCCTATGCAAACAGTATACACACCACACCTGATTGTACATCGCCCTTGGGATAAAAAACATGGAAATTACTCAGTAAATATTCGAGGAAAATAGTTGGAATTATCTGTTTCTGTTAATCACGGATATCACTTGTCTTAGAATGTAAGGTCGCGTAAAAAGTGACCAATCGCCCGTCATGAAAAGACTGAAGTCTAACGTCAAAAATGATGTTGAATCATCTATTTGGATGAAGGGTGTACCTAGTCATGTGATAAAAGGCAGAGCTGGTGTCGGTGACCATCTATTGTGATTGTGGTCAAAGGAGACTGCATACGACAGAAGAAGTGTTAGGTTTATAGAACATGAAGCTTTAATAGATTTTTATCACTACGAACACTGTCCTAATCTGGAAATAGGAAGTAATTGACGTTTTTGCAATGTGTTTCTACGGAAGGATGCTGAGAGTTCCATAGACCGTACACGTTGCCAAATAATGGCAATAAAAAGAAAACTTAGAAACCTTTGAAATTTCTAGGACGCAAAATGAGGAAAGAAGGCTTGGATAATTTAACACTCACATGACACTGAAAAGAAGAGGAGCAAGGTGGAAATTTACCTCGCAAGCTTGCACAAATTGATGGCAGAACAGTAAGAGAGTAAAAGAGATTGTAAAAAGACAAACGTTAGTAAGAGCTGCAAAATATAGGAAATTGTAGAGAGTCACGATCGCCCATATTCTGAAGAAAAAGAAATTATTGGCAGTTGCATATGAGAATATTCACACGCAAAATCTACATAAACTCAAATCTAAAAAATACACTTCCCTTATTCAGGAGAAAAGCAGTAGATCTTCTATCTGACATGACCGTCTACGTCTTAGGCGGTCATGGCTCTCCACAACATCTTTGTCTTTTTATCTCTCGTAAACTTTGATCCGCCATCCATTTACTCAAGCTCGCTAGGTTGGTTATACATTGATTTCAATATATCCTGTGAGTATCAGATTTTCCTAGCCCCCTTTCATCATTATGTGCCATAGAAATTACAAATCTCTCTCTTCCTAATGTTAAGCATAAGTGTCCTTTTTGTTTCTATTTACCTCAAAACTTGCTCGTTGTTTTCATATTCTCTCCGTAATGTTCTCAGTATCGTATCATAGAACCATATTTTTGTTGTCTCAAGTCAGATTTGCCACGACTTTATTTATTCTCATCAGGAAACCTTAAAGCAAAGTCTAAAATACAGCTGTACAATTAAACACTCAAAGATTGGACGAAGAGCCAATGTTGATGAACCATTGCATTCACCAAATTTCACACTATTTAATTCTCTCTTTGGAGGATATCTTCAGGACAAAGTTTATTCAGTGAGGCCCGGTATACATATGCAAATACGTGCTGGTAGATTGGACAAAGAACCATTTGCATCTTCAGTTTTCACACCATTTGATTTGTTTCTCTTGGTAGACCCTCAGAACAATGCTTAAGCGATAGAACCCAATACACCTGTGCAATTACACTGTTAGCAGATTTTACAAGTCGATGTCTTCACAATAAACATGGTTAGACTACTTAACTTTTATGTAATATCGGTCCACCTACAACGTGCGATGGGTAAATTGTCGCCATTTTACATTTTTAATTTCGCGTATGCACGTTGTTTGTTTTTGTCGACTGTATAGTAGGGTCAGTTGGGCACCGTCTGTGAGAAAAAGAGCACCATGACGCAATTCACTTCACTAGAAATTTGGAAGCCGCCTTCTGCACTGCTTGGCATTCGCGCCGGAATCTCCAATATGAACATTTCAGAGTGTTTTGGTGTCAATGTGTCTAATGGTGATTACAAAGGTGTTTGAAGTGATCATTAGTAATGGCGAAGTTATACCTCCATACCTTTTCCACAGGGCCTCAGACTCAACACCGGGGCGTATATCAAGTGCTTTGAGGAGATAGTGCTGTCTTTGGTCAAGAAGATGGCTACTGGAATACCCAACAGGATTCTGCACCATGCCACACAATCAGGAGAACCCAGTTTGCTCCTGCTTGTAATGACAACAAAACAATTCCTTTGGGCTGGAATGGGTCAGAGACAAAAGAGGCGAGACTCCTGAAAATATCTTTTTCTTTGTGGGTTGTGTCCACTCAGGACTTAGGAGACCATGGCTCTCCACAACTTCCTTCTCCTTGTAATTCTTAATAAATTTTGTCTTTCTGTTATTGATCCTAAACCCTGTTCCGCCACCTCAAGCTCACTAAATATTTTCTTTTTTGTTTTCTTCTGTTCCTCTTGCTTTCTATTTGTCTCATGAATATCAGATTTTTCAAGCCCCACCCACCCGCTCCCTCGTTATGTACCCCAGAAACCTCAACTATCTTTTCCTGGTGTTAAGTATGTTTCCCCTTTGTTTCCATTTTCTCTAAAACTTCACCGTTTCTCATAAGTCCGGTCCATGGTATCGTCAGGATTCTTCGGTAATTTTCATAACTGCCACACATAAGGTGAAATAAATTAAATGTATATCTAAGACATGTCTGTTTTACATTATATATTATCATTGTCATTATTCACGTGTCTCGGGTTCATTTTCAGCGAGATTGAATTAATAGTGTTTATTTTAAGTAGCATAAAAGTAAAAAATTAAATAGATTCCATTTGATCCTGGTAAATTTCCAATGGAAAAATACTATGAAATGTATAAAAAATATTTTGTGGTAAAATAGTTTTGTGAAATTGCTTATTCAAAGTGCACTTCCTCTTTTCTTCTCCGAACATTAACAATAAAAAAGAAACTTTTATCTTCACGGAACAATGTTAATTGTTTCTACAAAAGAGATGTAACAGAAGAGCAATTGACCAGCATTTTTTGCCAGGTGATCAAAAGCAAATACATTAATATACGTCGCCGAAAGAGTTTATTTGTTTTTACAAATATTGATTGATTATTTATCTGCCTTTTTTGCAGGTTATTTAAAGCCAGAAATGTATTAAGAATGTTTTAGCCGAATTTATTTTAAACAATAAATACTAATTTTTTAGTATAATCACCTTCCTTGCCAATGCAAGTAATCCAATACATCTCGCTGAAACAGCTGTTTCCGTACAATCACTGAAGTTAAACAACTTCGAGCCTGGCCAGTATCTTGATGGGTGACCACTTGGGAATACCAGGCTCGTGGGAAGAAGCCCTTTCAATGGAACTTACATCTCACAACGAAGGGAATAAGGTTGGTTCACTACAATGTGCATAATATCGCAGGGGTCTTAACCATGAAAGTGGAAACTGGTGCAACTAAGGAATATAGTTTATACTGCAGCTATGCTGAGCTGACCTTAGTTACGCTTTCTGGAAGAGAATACATAATCTGGCGTGGTCAGCACTTAGAACAATGTCAGTACGATCAAACCCTCGGTCACGATGACTAGTAACTTCGTGCTAGCATATCCATCGACAAAAAATCTCGTCCACCTAATTTCATTCACAAGGCTTGGGTCAACTCTTGATATAATTTTCGTACACTTTTCCAGATTTTAGAAGGAGCGAAGCAGGGATTATTAATCTATCTGAGTACGTTTTAGTGTCCAGTCGTAGAAATACATATTCTTGTAAAATCTTCGACCGATAACAACAAATCCTCTTCATGATAAAATCTCATGGTCAGAAAGCGAACGTTCTAATCACTCGGTCATGCGCCAATACATTGTTTTAAATAACACACAAAGAGTTGATAAGCCGTAAAATACAAAACTGAGAAAATGGTTGCTGATGTAAGAATTAATTAATCTTAATATAAATCCATTAAGTAAAACGAAAAAACACAAATGGTGATGACATGAATAAATTGTAGCGTCGGGGAGGAGGGTGGCAGTGGTCCCAGTAGAAACTAGATCACTCAGCTCAGTCAAATTATTTAAAAATTCAGTGCAAAGCTACATAAAGGTGTGCTGAAAAGATCTTAACCCAACCTCCTTTTCAAAATTTGACTAAACTTCCGATTTTAGGGCGAGTGGAACACGGATTATTGGTCGAGCCAAGAATATTTCAGTGTCCAGTTGTAAAAATTCATATTCATGTAAAATATAAATTGCGAATTATTACCTGTGTGCAAAAGTTCCAGCATCTTTCACACACACACACATACATATATATATATATATATATATATATAGTTGAATGGATATGAGTTTATGACCCTCAGTTTCACGATTATGCGATCCTCAGACAAACTCTGAGTTTGTCTGAGGATCTCATGATCGTGAAACCGGCGGTCACAAACTTATATCCCTTCAACTAAATATATTGCCTCTATCACTGATATTGAGCACTTTCCAATAAGCACCGCACATATATATAGAAAATTTTTATATATGTATATGTATATATATATATATGTTAAGAAATGGACAAGGTCCGACAATTTATTTATTAAAGACATTTTTATTTATGTTTAACGTTGTTATTTTATAGATACAAGTATTTAAGCAAATGCTCTGTTTAAGATAAACAGTATTAAATAACATTTACCGGCCTGAATGTCCGAGAAATTTTCATAGAAAATATTCGTTCATAGACAGGATTCGAACCTGCATCCTATACGGAACTGTCATATACGCTGACATGGAAGATTGTAGTTTATAACAGTAAATTCGACCTTGTCTACCATAAGGTTCATGGTGGCTGAGTGGTTAAGGCATGTCAGCGTATATGCGAATCCTGTCTATGAACGAATATTTTCTATGAAAATTTCTCGGACATTCAGGCCGGTAAATGTTATTTAATACTGTTTATCTTAAACAGAGCATTTGCTTAAATACTTGTATCTATAAAATAACAACGTTAAACATAAATAAAAATGTCTTTAATAAATATATATATATATATATACATGCATATTATATATATATGTGTGTGTGTGTGTGTGTGTGTGTGCGTGCAAATATATAGAAAAATAAGAAAGAACACGTTAGGTTAATAATCCGAAGTTCTTTAGTATTTTTGTTTGAATTTAAAAAAATAGTGCTCAATACAAATGTAGAGCCTGAATATATATATATATATATATATATATATATATATATATATAAGTGAACATAGAAGTCAACACTTAGAGGCGACAGTCTGTTTCATGCTAGATGCAATCGTCCGGCCACGATATTGCATCGAGCATGAAACAGACTGTCGCCTTCTAATGTTGATTTCATATTCACGTTTATATTAACACGCGCTCTATCTCTGATATTGAGCACTTTATCCCATAAATATAGCACATCTTAAGACTATATATATATATATATATATATATATATATATATATATATATATGACAGAGAGATTTAAGTTGTTCCAACGAGAGAAAAGTGTATATTTTAAAGAGTAGAGACAAGCCACAAACGTTTTTAGTTATAAATATATATTATACTTTATTTTACAAATGGAAACTAAAATATAATATATAGCTAAAAAAATCTGCATTATAACCAAACACGGCTTCTCTCTACTCTTTTTTTATATATATATATATATATATATATATATATATATATATATATATATATATATGTACTCTGAATTCAAATCCTGCGGAGGGTCGTTTGGGGACCTTGTGGCACGTAATGCACCAGGCCTCTGTAATCGGCCCTTCTAAAAGTGTGGATGGTGCTGCACGGAACCTTCCCCACTATAATCAAATCTCATGTGCTATTGTCGGGCTGTCGGTTTCCTAGGAACTGATCTGCTTGATCCTCGTACATCGGATTCGACGGAAGAGTCGAGCGAGCGGGCGATATATGTATGTATGTATAATTACGGTAATAGTCACCCTGTATCAGGCCAAAGAGCCACTAGAGCTAGAGGGTTTCATAAGGAAAAAGATTTTAGAAGGAACCAAAACCACAATGCTATACAGGAAGCAAAAGATAAACCTATACTCCTATTCAAAAACAGTGTGACCCGGCGATAGGCGAACCTATCTACTCCTATTGAGGAAAGAGGACAGCAGAAGAAGACAGGTACTTGCAGGAGCAGTAAACTTGATAGTGAGACAGTCAAACCCATAATATATATAGTAATTTTCTAAGCGTACCTTAAATGTGGCACAAGGCCGAAAATATGGGGCACCCAGTGAGGATCGAACTCACTAAGTCATAATCGTTCTAGACACACAATGAGATTTTCCAAGAGTAGCTTAGATGTGGCACAAAGATGAAAGTATGGGGCGCCCAGTGAAGATCGAACTCACTACTCGATCGTAAATTGATCTAGTGACACAGACTTGCTAACCATTACCCAGCGTCGAGGTGCACATTTTTTTCTAAACGGAGTTTAGTTGTGGTGCAAGACCGAAAGTATGTGGCACCCGGTGAGGATCGAACTCATTAGCGAGACAAGCTTGCTGAACTTTACACCACGTCGAGCTTCCTTCACCTACAATATACATTGAAAAGAAGAGAATGAATACACAGTAGAAATCATCCTTATAATGTGCTATTATAAGGATGATTTCTACTGTGTATTCAACAGCAGCAGAAGCAACAATAATAATAATAATAATAATAATAATAATAATAATTTATAATAAACAACAATAATAATAATAACAATAAACAATAATAATAATAATAAAATTAAGTGGAAATTTTTACACATATTTCGTCTGAATTCGTATATTTTCCATTTTCTCAAGTGTAAACGAATCTCTCAACGAAACTGACTAAGAAATGACAAACTCTTTTTAAATAGTTGCCCGAATTAGTGAAAATATAAGTAATAATTATACAGAGATTATATTGTAGGAAAAAAATGGACAAAATAAGTGTTTCATCAATTTTTGTTGTCATCAGAAAAATATTTGATGCGAAAAAATATGATGTGACAATCTGATAAAAGAAAATCATTGACGATTTACTTTCTTAAGTGAAATGTTGTTTTTTCGTAATCGTTTTGTCTTTGTTTTTATTCGCAGTTCTTCAGATTTATCAATCAAACAAGATATCTATCTTAATCTGCTCCTATTAATCGAATGTTCTACAAATGTTTATATTTATCGATTGATTTTCCTTCTATCTCTCAAACAATCAATCTATTTAATTATTCTTCTAGTCCAATATCTATCTTTTCATATTTATTAGTCTCTTTCTTTCTCTTTCTCTATATGTTTACCGCAGCCTGTCTATGTAACTTTTTATTTATTTCAGTCTATCTATCTATCTATCTATCTATCTATATTTATTAGTCTCTCTCTCTCTACATATTTACCACAGCCTGTTTCTGTCTATGTATTTAACTTTTTAGTTATTTCAGTCAGTCTATCTATCTATCTATCTATCTATCTATCTATCTATCTATCTATCTATCTATCTTTTCATATTTATTAGTCTCTTTCTCTCTCTCGCTCTCTCTCTCTCGCTCTCTCTCTCTCTCTCTCTCTCTCTGTTTCTTCATATATATACCGCAGCCTGTTTCTGTCTATGTATTTAACTTATTATTTGTCTCGGTCTATCTATCTATCTATCTATCTATCTTTTCATATTTATCTCTTTTCATATTTATCTCTTTCTCTCTCTCTCTCTCTTTTCCCTCTTTCTCTCTCTCTCTCTGTCTTTCTTTCTATCATTCTCTATATATTTACTACAGCCTGTTCGTGTCTAAATATTTAGTTTTTATTTATTTCAGTCGGTCCCCACACGTTTCAAACTAGTTGACAGCAATTTTATTTTTTTGTATCAGATATTGATTTGCATAATAAAATCTCACATAATGTATCCAGTTTGTGACTAGGATTTTACAAGATCATATGAACTCATTTTTATATAATTTACAGAATGATGTTGTTTAAACCATCACCGCAAACACGCACATACCAACACACACACATATCTTATCCATAGCATAGGGACCTGCGCGACAAGCCATTTACACCGTGACACACAAACGTACACATTGACTGCAGTGTGAATTCAGGTAAAACATCAGTCATTGCGCCAACTGTTCTCTTGTCCTAAACGTATACAAATACGGGATTCAGGGAGTGTGCTCCTTGTCGTTCACGGTACACGGGCCAATACATGGGCCGATACACGCGCCGACACACGCGCTCGACTTTTGGAATCAGGACTTTCACGAACAGCGTTCACAAGGCAGGAGAAAAGCGAATGAAAAAGAACTTCAAGTAAAAGGAAATCAAGGGAAAATAAAAACCAGAAAGAGAAAAAAATATGTGTGGAATAAAAAGTGAAAATGTAAAGAAGCAAATAACAGATGATAAGAAGTAATGGGATTTAGTTAGATAAATAAAGGAAAATAACACGCACACACACAGACACACGCACACACAGAAACACATATATATATATATATATATATATATATATATATATATATATATATATATATATATATATATATTACGAAATGGATTAAATCCTAGATTTTAATTTATTTGTTTTTAAGAACTAACGTTCAAGCAAATAAATAAAAGTAAATTAAGTATATATATATATATATATATATATATATATATATATATAAATTAAATATATATATATACACACACACACACACACACATATATATATATATATATATATATATATATATATATATATATATATATATATATGCTGGGTGGGTTCAGTAATAATTCATTCATACAAGTCTGGCCAAACATCAGCCAACGTTCCTTGTAAATTATTTTTTTTAATTTTCTTACGTTATATATATATATATATATATATATATATATATATATATATATAAAAGAGAGTGAGAGACAGACAGATAATAATCAATATATATATATATATATATATATATATATATATATATATATATATATATATAGTTTATGCAAAACTAGGTAATCCGTATTGGTAGACCCAAGGAGGCTGATATCCAGAGAGCTCAATGTAAATTCAGAGCACATAAATTTGAATAAAAACAGACCACTTTAAGGTTCCATGTTCAGCATATATATATATATATATATATATATATATATATATATGTAGTTCTACAGAAGGATGTTGAGAATGCAGTGTACCGAACATGTGATCGGCAACGAAGTTCTAGAGAAAATGAAGCAAAAAGGAAACTAAACATTAGGAAGAGACCGTTGAAATTTCTATGGTACATACTGGGGAAAGAGAGCTTGGAAAATTTGGTACTCACAAGACATATTGAAGGCAAGAGGGACGGAGGAAAACAACGCATAACCTACCTAGCGAGCTTATGTAAATCGGTGAGATAACTAAAAGAAAATAATTTAAATCTACAAAGGGCAGAAAATTGTGGAGAGCCATGATCACCAACTTGCTGAAGGGATACAGTACATAAAAGAAGAAGAAGAAGAAGAAGAAGAAGGAGAAAACTTGTGTACCGATTGCCTAGAAGATAGTACATCAATGGGGGCTCTATCATCATCATCACCATATCTACCAAAATGTTCCTATATTCATCAGCAATATGGACGATCAAATGATCGAAGTATATATGTCATTTAAACGTATCTTAGATTGTGGCGCAAGCAAGGATCAAACTCACATCTCAGCCGTAATTGATTGAAGGAAATAAGCTCGTTGAGCGTTACACCACGAAGTATATATATATATATATATATGTTACAATCGAAAAGAGTGTTTTCATTGCTCGAGAACGTGACAAGTACAAAACCCTTTCGATTCCACTCATTCTCTTCGACCTCCTGATATTAAGGTCAAATGACAAGTAGCCAAAAAGCCAATCCATTCAACGATATAATGAAAGGCTCTTCGTTTCCAACATTGTTCAAGTTCAAACATGACAAGAACTTTTGTGGATCTTTTTCATACAGATCAAATTGTTTAAAATAGCTATGAACATAAATTAATCATTATACACACACACACACACATATATATATATATATATATATATATATATATATATATAGTCATCCACAGACTTATTGTGGATAGACGTCCAATTGCTTCAAGCCAGGATGGAAACCCGACAGATTTGACATCAGCCAGATCTCTTACCACTAGACCGTCATTGCACGGCAGGGAAGAAAGGGAATTTTAACGTTTTTCTCTATACGAAATACGCCAGGTGCTCATAGAATTCAATTCAATCTTACTTGTAGAGTAATACTTATATATATATATATATATATATATATATATATATATATATATATATATATATATAAAGGGTGTTTCATTAAGACGGATTATATATAAGGGTGTTTCATTAAGAAGGATCAATCTCAGTAAATAAATCAGTGTTATTGGTGTTATTTATTCATTTCTCTATTGGATCCTGTTGTGGCAATTACGTGTGAAAATAATATCGCCCAAATATCCGCCAAATCTGAAAGAAAAAGAAAAAAATCATTACACTCTTAAACTTAATTCACATTTAAAATCGGTTCAAGTTATTGGAACATCCTTCATATATATATATATATATATATATATATATATATAAAGATATAAAAGTAACTCATCGCATCTAGAAGAAACCTCAACAGAATGCAGAAGGCACTGGACAGCCGTTTCGTTCTATATTCGGGTTTCAATTTTCGGTAGTGAATGCGCACTGCTGATGAGTGCCAAATACAGGACGAAACGGCCGTCCAGTGCTTTCTACCTTCTGTTGAAGTTTCTTCTAGACTCGATGAGTTACTTATCTCAAATCCTCTTAATTTTATCATTTATATATATATATATATATATATATATATATATATATATATATATATATATATATATATATATATATATATATAATAATCATTCATCCCAAGCAAGGCAATAAAGCCATTAGGACACAAGGGGTTACTGAGTATTAGAGACTATGATACTCTTAAGGAAGGAGGACAATAAAAGAACAAGAATTAAGAAGAGAAAAGATGACGAATGATATTGCATCAACATTATTGAAGGTCAAAGTTAAATGGGAAGCAAGAAGCCAGAAGAAGTATAAAAAAAGTCTCCACTTCTTTGCTTTCATCTAGCAGGTTTGTATATTACAAAATATATTCCAGAGACAAATGTATAAGGTTCCTTTTTATCATTTCACTCCAAAAAAGAAAATAAAGACACTAAAACGCAAGTGGACACTAAGTGTGAAAAATATGAGAAAAATGAAAAACATTATTAAGGAGGGAGAACAATAAATGAACAGGAATTAAAACGTTAAAAGATAACGATTGACATTGCATTTAAATGTCTGAAGATCAAAAAAGTGAAAGATCAGAAGAGTTCCATAAGGGAGAAGTGTGAGAGAAAAAACTTTTAACATAGAATTTACGGTTGCATCTAACCATTTCAACTATAAAAGGATGAGGACTGCGCTTAAATTCATAGTCTAGGTACCAAAGCGGAAAATTAACCAAAAAAAATACCATGAAAGTATTAATAGAAAATGCACTGAGAATGTCAATAAAACCAATTTTTCTACAATCTGTCTATCTGAAAAGAATACATCAATGAAGCCAGACTCTCGACAAAAAAAAAAAAAAAAAAAAACAAAAAAAAACTCTTTCCCAAAGTACTTCAAACCTGATCTACAAACTGATTTCTTAAAAAGAATAGATATTCTATTCATACAAACCTACCCTAAAAATCTTGTCGGCACTAACTAACCCATTAATGTTGATACGCCGTAAAAGCAAATAAACCAAACTAGAAAAGGTACAGCGAAACTACGTTACGGCGATGGGAAACGGAATGAAACCGAGATACCAGATGAAGACCAATAACATTGCAGATTTTTCTTTAGATTTTATCAAGAATCCCTGAATGTACAGTCCATTTAGAAATATGTCTTATATAAGTCTATGTCGATAATTTATTTAGTAATTTTTAAGTATGTTTGGGTCGATAGATTATTTAGAAATCTTCGTCTTGTGTAGATAAACGAGAAATCTATGTGCAGCCTGTCTCAAAAGTTTAGCAATCTTTGAGTAATCACAGTGAGTTGAAGAATTTTCATCGAAGTCTGCCAAGAACGCAAACACAATATATGCAGGTTAATGCATATCGATGGTGAATGTGGGATCCGTATCATATTGAATGTGATCTTATATACAGTGTGATCATGTGGGAATCAAAGAATGAGACAGTCTATCGGGTAATTTAAGAAGTAAAATCATGAAAATCACTCAGAATCAGGTTGAAAATGTAAATGTTATGATCTCCGGTTCCGTGGTGTAGCTTATCTTGTCATTTGTTTGAAAAAATTGGACGAGAAAATAATCTTGAGGTTAAAGTTAACAGAAAAGTGAAATCCAAAATAAAATATAAGAATCGAAACAAGGAGAAGAAAGAACTGAAGAAAGATCGATTGTCACATGTGACAAGGCAACGGCATTATCAGTTTTAAAAAAGTAATCACAGAATATCAGGAAAGAAATTAGCATTTAAAATTCTAAGGAATAAATTATTTTGAATATTATGATTTTTTTCTTGAATTAAAGGAACGTTACCTGTTGCAGAACCGCTCCCCACCCCCAGCCTAGTGCTCTTTCTTTCCTTTTCCCTTTTAACAACAACAACAACAAATAATAATAATAATAATAGTAATAATAAATTTATGTCAGTTGAGGGTGAACCTCTCCTCCAACATACATTTTTTTTCCCAGACAGTATTCTGGTAAAATAGCGACTGGCTTGAAACGCCGTACTGAGCGGAAATGCGACACTGAATTACTCCATGGAG